CAAGAACTTTAGTCAACCCGCTTTCCCCGAGAACCTCCGGAAAGGAAGGGACGGTCCTCCGCCCGACTATGGAGCCCCGGCGACCACAGAGGTAATGCGGAGGTGAAGCCGCGGGCGGCAGGGGGCGCTCAGAGCACGCGCAGTGTCCGGGGCCGCTCTTGCTGCTTCGGAGGCTCTAGACTGGCGGGGAGATCGCGCGCCCAGCCGGAGAGGCTCGGGGCTGCCCAGTGGCCCGGGACTCCACGCGTTCCCCCCTTTCTTGCCTTTGCCGCCCCGGTAGCAGACAGCATGCAGAGGTGGGAAAGAGCTGCGGTTCCCCGCGCCACCAATTCCGTCTTAGATCGCCTGGAAGGGTTTGACGTTGAGCGAAACTCAGTGCTAACTTTTTTTGTGTCGTGTCTAAAGAGGAGCAAACATCTCAGCTTTAGCCCAGAGCCCCTTGGCTGCCTCCCAGAAAAGGAGGGCTGTGAGGTAGACCTTCTTGGGTGCTCTAGGTCCCCAAGGCTGCTGGTCTCAGGGTACAGTGAGGTGCACTATGGAGAGCGTCCCAGAGCCTGGACCAGTGGGGACCGAAAGAGAGCTGGGAGCATCTGAGAAGGACACCCTGGGAGGCAGAAAGAAAGATTTGTTGTGGCACTGGTGCTTGGGTTTTGTGCAGGTGACCTGGGACCAGCCCTCGGTGTGCAAGGTGTAACCATCTTCACTGGCCTGGCCATGCCGAATCACTTGTGGGTCAGTCTCTCTGAGCACAGCATTTTCCCGCAAAACTTATGGCCCAGCGGTGTGGCTTCAGGAGCGTAAACTTTCCTCTACTAGGCGGGGAAGACACCAGCTCGCACCCGGCAGTCTCTGAAAACGCCAGTCTCCAGGGGTTGGGGACCTGCTTGCATTTTACAAATCACCAGCGATGAGTGGAGGTTGGGAAATGAAGGGGCTTCTGCCTTCCCGGGCCCTAAAAATTGGCTACTACCAAAAGTCTGCTGGGAATCTGGATCATAAGGAACCAAGGCACGGGCATATGCAGACATACACAATCCACCCTTTCCCATCGCCCACCCTGTTTCTTCTTCTTCTTCTTCTTCTTCTTCTTCTTCTTCTTCTTCTTCTTCTTCTTCTTCTTCTTCTTCTTCTTCTTCTTCTTCTTCTTCTTCTTCTTCTTCTT